CCTGCACACGCCTGTGCACGGTGGCTCTGGATGTTTCTACTCCAGACTCAGTCCACTGCTTCCGCAGGTCCCCCAAGGTCTGGAATCGGCCCTTCTCCACAATCCTCCTCAGGGTCCGGTCACCTCTTCTCGTTGTGCAGCGTTTTCTGCCACACTTTTCCCTTCCCACAGACTTCCCACTGAGGTGCCTTGATACAGCACTCTGGGAACAGACTATTCATTCAGCAATTTCTTTCTGTGTCTTACCCTCTTGCTTGAGGGTGTCAATGATGGCCTTCTGGACAGCAGTCAGGTCGGCAGTCTTACCCATGATTGCGGTTTTGAGTAATGAACAAGGCTGGGAGTTTTTAAAAGCCTCAGGAATCTTTTGCAGGTGTTTAGAGTTATGTCGTTGATTCAGATGGTTAGGTTAATAGCTTGTTTAGAGAACCTTTTCATGATATGCTAATTTTTTGGGACAGGCATTTTGGGTTTTCATGAGCTGTATGCCATAATCATCAGTATTAAAACAATTAAAGACCTGAAATATTTCAGTTGGTGTGCAATGAATCTGAAATATATGAAAGTTTCATTTTTATCATTACATTATGGAAAATAATGACCTTTATCACAATATGCTAATTTTTGAGAAGGACCTGTATAACAGCAACAGAAAGGTAAAAGATCCAAGAGGGTGAATACTCTTGTTTATTTTCATCCAACCTTTATTTATACATTTATTTTATCACCCGATAAAAGTTTGACACGATTTGTTCTGTGATTTTAAGTTTGTATGTAACGCACATTTATTTTACAAACAGAAGAACTGTTTCTTTACTCTCACCTAAAAAAAACAACTTTATTTTACTTTGATTTGTTGTTTTTTTAAGAGCTCTGACTGTTTTGAAGGAGTGGGTGGGGCATGTTGTGACCCCCTGATGTAGATGTTTGTGTTCCCAGATCGGTCCTACCTTGTCCATGCGGTCCTGCTGGAGTCCAAACTTTCCTCCATATCCGTGAGAGGCTTTGGGCATGTTCTCCAGCTCCTTCTGCTTCAGGGAGGTGTGCTCCGTGGACACAGTCTCACGCAGCTGGTGGATGCTGCACCACAGACACACCATCAGGACATGTGCTCAACATTAATGGAGGAAAACGTTCAATGTTCTCACTCGATGTGCTCCTGATGTCCTGAGCCGGCCACAGTCTTCGCACCCCACCTCTGCTCCTGCTCCGAGACGTCATTCTAAAATGAAGCATCAATAAAGCATGAGTCATGACACGGTGGAGAACATCTGAAGACTACAGCCCAGATTCATGTTCACCTCAAAGTCTGGGTCGGTCTCCCAGTCATCTCCACCGTCGTCTACAGCCACTTTAACATTCTGTCCTGCTGCTGCTTTCCACATCGTCACAGAGCCAAGCTCACACACACTGAAACACAAACCCACACATTTCATTAGGCCCAAGCAGTGAAGCGCTGCCTATTGTAATCGCTCTGTTCAGGTCCGAGCTGTAATTTTTTGGGCAAATGAATTGGCGTTTTGGGGGCCTTAACATAGCCCAAAACTCACCAAATTTGGCGGACGCATCGGGACTGCTGAAGAATTACATATTTTAAGGGCGCAACAAAAATTGCAACAAAAACAGCTCAAGAGCGCCACCTGGAAAATTTCAAAATGCCCTCCGCATTAACCTTAATTTGTCGTAGAAACATGAAATTTGTTACGCTTGTCCAATTCCCCAAGATGCACAGAAAACCCTCTGGCACCAATGTTGTACGATAAACAGGAAGGTGGCAATTTTGGAATGCTGTCCCAAATTTCACACCTTTTTGGCGGTTTACAGCCTCCACATTTGAATGAACTCCTCCTAGGGATTTCTCTCAATCGGTTTCAAACTTGCCCATTTTGTTCAAAAGGCATGGGGGACGAAAAGTTCTGTAAATGGTGCGTTTCGGAGCATGCTGAAGGGGCGGGGCCACACCTCAAAGTTTGACATCTCGCCATGAAAAATGAAAGGCTAATAGTTCCTACAAGAAAACTGAGACATCAAACCTTCAGTGATTGATCCACATCCGGTCCCCTGCAAGAACATTGAACGGTCCCTATCTAACCCCTGTGATCTGATCAGCACGATAGTGTGTCCAATGACCTAAGAAATATTGGTTTAACTTGCTGTCTAACACTGACAAGTTTTGGGTGGAGCATGTGGGCGGCACGGCAAAGTAAGACGTAACACCTTTGCCATACGTTTGGCTCTAAATTGCACAGATTTGAGCCGAGGTTCACCAAAATCATTATGATTGATCATTATCCACCTCTTGAACAGGAAGCCATGATAAGTGGCCAATAGCCTCCACAGCGCACCCTAGAATATTTTAAAGCTTAAGCCCAAAGCCATTTTTTGACCGATAATTCTGAAACTTGGTGAACATATGTATTTTAAGGTTGATTGGTAAGGTTGAAATAAAGGTTGATTGATCTTCTCAGGCCCTATGAAAAAGTCTCTTGGAGCCTTGGTCCAAACTCAACAGGAAGTCGGCCATTTGGGGTCAAAGGGTCATTTTGGGGCGTTTCCAATTGCAAATTTTAACGAACTCCTCCAAGGGATTTTGAAGGATTCCCTTCAAACTTGGTTGATATGCCCTTAAAACATTGGGGAGTAAAAGTTATCAAAGGCTTGCGTTTTTGTATATGTTAAAGGGCGGCAGTGGCTGAGTGGTTAGAGCAGTCGTCCTCCAATGCGAGAGTTGGGGGTTTGAATCCACCAGCAGTCACATGTCGAAGTGTTCCTGGGCAATACAGTGAACCCCTTGTTTCCTCTGATGTGTGTCCCATCTGTGTAATGAATGTGATAAAGCACTGATTAGTCTCAGAATGATTTGTTCAATTAGCTTTGTAGAGATCTAGTAGAGTGCTGTATGAATGGGTAAATGAGGACACAGATTGTGTTGTAAAGCGCATTGAGTATCTTGAAATAAGACAGAAAGGCGCTATATAAGTACAGTCCATTTAAAGGGGCGTGGCCAGGCCGCAAATTTGCGCTTCAGGCCGTTAACTTCCAAACGCTATAACTTTCACCTTGAAAACCCGAAATGCAAAAAACTTGGCATGACTCATCCCTGTTGGACGCCCTATGATCCTCTGTGGTCATAATCTGACGTCATCCAAGCCCTGCCCCTTCAGAACAGGAAGTCACTTTTTTGACTTGGAATGGTCCCTCTCGAACACCCTTGACCTAATCAGGATGATCCTGTGTTAGAAAACATATAACAAGTTGGTCTGACTTGATTTACAAACCGGATTCCAAAAAAGTTGGGACACTAAACAAATTGTGAATAAAAACGGAATGCAATGATGTGGAGATGGCAAATGTCAAAATTTTATTTGTAATATAACATAGATGACAGATCAAAAGTTTAATCTGAGTAAATGTAACATTTTAAAGGAAAAATATGTTGATTCAAAATTTCACAGTGTCAACAAATCCCAAAAAAGTTGGGACAAGTAGCAATAAGTGGCTGGAAAAAGGAAATTGAGCATATAACGAATAGCTGGAAGACCAATTAACACTAATTAGGTCAAATGACAACATGATTGGGTATAAAAAGAGCTTCTCAGAGTGTCAGTGTCTCTCAGAAGCCAAGATGGTAAGAGGATCACCAATTCCACCATTGTTGCGCAGAAAGACAGTGCAACAATACCAGAATGGTGTTACCCAGTGTAAAATAGCAAAGACTTTTAAGTTATCATCATCAACCGTGCATAACATCATCAAAAGATTCAGAGAATCTGGAACAATCGCTGTGCGTAAGGGTCAAGGCCGTAAAACTCTACTGGATGCTCATGATCTCCGGGCCCTTAAACGTCACTGCACCTCAAACAGGAATGCCACTGTCAAGGAAATAACAGAATGGACTCAGGAATACTTCCAGAAAGCATTGTCAGTGAACACAATCCACCGTGCCATCCGCTGTCGCCAGCTGAAACTCTACAGTGCAAAGAGGAAGCCATTTCTAAGCAAGCTCCACAAGCTCAGACATTTGCACTGGGCCAGGGGGCATTTAAAATGGAGTGTGGCAAAATGGAAGACTGTTCTGTGGTCAGATGAGTCACGATTTGAAGTTCTTTATGGAACACTGGGACGCCATGTCATCTGGACCAGAGAAGACAAGGTTAGCCCAAGTTGTTATCAACGCTCCGTTCAGAAGCCTGCATCACTCATGGTATGGGGTTGCATGAGCGCTTGTGGCATGGGCAGCTTGCATGTCTGGAAAGGCAGCATTAATGCAGAGAACTATGTTCAGGTTCTAGAACAACATATGCTCCCATCTAGACATCATCTCTTTCAGGGAAGACCCTGCATTTTTCAACACAAAAATGCCAGACCACATTATGCAGCAATCACAACATCATGGCTACGTAGGAGAAGGATCCGGGTACTGAAATGGCCAGCCTGCAGTCCAGATCTTTCACCTATAGAGAACATTTGGTGCATCATAAAGAGGAAGGTGCAACAAAAAAGGCCCAAGACGATCGAACAGTTAGAGGCCTGTATTAGACCTGAATGGGAGAGCATTCCTATTTCTAAACTTGAGAAACTGGTCTCCTCTGTCACCAGACATCTGCTGAGTGTTGTAAGAAGAAGGGGGGATGCCACACAGTGGTAAAAATGGACTTGTCCCAACTTTTTTGGGTTTTTGATGACACCATGAAATTTGGAAACAACAGATTTTTCCCTTAAAATGATACATTCTCTCAGTTTAAACTTTTGATCTGTGATTTGTGTTCTATTCTGAATAAAATATTAGATGTTGGCACCTCCACATCATTGCATTCAGTTTTTATTCACAATTTGTTTAGTGTCCCAACTTTTTTGGAATCCGGTTTGTACATTCCCTGCATCCTGAACAGGGGAGCGGACATCATGTCGAGGGGCAGCCCCGCCACAGAGACTGGAGCCTCCATCCCGAGCTGATCTCTCGGATTTTGGAGCAGGTTCGGCCAAGCAGCAGTGAATCTGTTCGCCACATGGGAAAATGCCCAGTGTCAATTATGGTTCTCACTGAGCCCACAGGACGACCCACCATTAGGGGTGGATGCCTTTGCTCACAGCCCGTGGCCAAAAATACTCCTTTATGCATTCCCGCCAGTCCTGCTGATATCTCGGACCCTGAACCGGGTCCGGGAGGATAAGCTGTCAGGCATCCTTGTAGCTCCCAAGCGCATGAGCGACCCGTGGTTCCCAAGCCTGCAGCGAATGATATCAGGTCGGCCGTGGAAACTGCTGTGGAGGGGGGACGCTCTCCTCTAGGCAGGAGGAGCAATCGGGAGTTACCCAGAAAGAGGTCAGCACCTTTGGGTTTGGCCGCTGAATGGATCTGTTTAGAAAAGATGGCAGTGTAGCCAGATTGGGAGGTTTACTGCCAATTGGACGGTTTTCTTTCTGATTTTGCTGGGAACTTTGGGAAGATTTTTGTTGGATTGTTGCATTTTGCCACATATTGTTAAATTACCTTGGCTTGTACTGATGTATGTTCATGTTCAAACAGTAAATATACTGTAACAATATATTGATTGGGCAGATTTATGTTTGATGTGGCGGTAATTAATAGATTTTTGGGCTGGAAAACCTTGACTATCTGGCAACACTGAAAGATAGGCCTCCCACAGGATGTGGCGCATACGATCCGGGGCGCACGAGCCAATTCCACCACAGCCCTGTACACATCAAAGTGGATAGTTTTTCAGCGCTGGTGCACAGAGAAAGGCGTGGAGGCCATCTCATGTCCACTAGGTGGCGTACATAATGCGCACGGCCACACTGCGCCGCTCTCAGTGTCTGTTCGTGCATTATAGGGACAGCTCTTCAGGACGCCCTCTATCCACCCAGCGCCTCTCACACTGGTTGTGTGAGGCTAGTTCTGAAGCTTACAGTTCATCTGGGCTGGGGCCTCCAGCGAATCTCAGAGCACATTCCACCAGAGGGTTTTCATCCTCCACGGCTCTGCATGACCGTGGAGGATTTTTGTATGGCGGCTGCCTGGTCATTGCCGTGTTCGTTTATTTGTTTTTATCTGGGTGAAGTTTCTACTTTCTCCATGACCCATTCTGTTCTCAGGGTTCTGACAGAGTGATTATTATTTGTTTCATTGAGTCTCACTTTTGAGCTCACACCAGCCTGCATGCTGTCGCAGTGTGAGATATTTATCATCAGTCACAAGTTCATGAGTGCTAATTTTATTGTTATTAGTCAGTTCATCCAGAGGAGCTGTTGGCCTGCTCTGTTGTAACCTCTGTTGTTCCTATTCACAGCAGCAGGTCTGCTATCTTAGTCTTTTTCCTCACCAGAAATAAATTTTCTCCGGCGTGCTGCTGCGCATGGAGCGCGTAATTACGCACACAGAAGGCTGAGTGATGAAATGTTCCATT